TTCCGACCCTTAATCTATGAATCTATGAATCTATGACTCATCACTCAATTTTAAAATTGTGGAAATCCTTCAGTGTAACTCTAGCACATAACAGTAGTTCCATGCTGACCATTACTGCAGTGACCTGATACTCTTCTTTCTGTTGAGAGATCTCGAGAGACTGATTAAAAGGAGAGATCAATCCATAGCTTCACAGTAATTTCACACTTAAATAAGATTCCTTCTACCCCTTGTTATAATTAGAATAACAATGGCATTTTTCTATGTTAATAAGATACTTTCCATCTTGGTGTGGGTTTCTTGGGGCATTAATGAGATCAAGAAGGAACCCTTTTTAACTGTGTATTGCTCTTCCTAGCTGTATGGGTGGAGGCAGCCTCTCAATCAGGTTTGAAAGACCAACCTAAAGAGACAGTATTTGGAAATGGTATTTTTATGTGCATATTAAACAGTATTTCTTAAAGGTCATGGTAATTTTAAATGTTGTTTGATTAACTTTACAATTGACTATGGCATACATTTTTATACACATATGTACGTGTGCATACATGTAAAAACATTTGTATATATATTCAAAGAAATAAAAAAAAAACCAGAGTCAAAATGTTGTCCTGTACCTCGGTGGTCTTTGAAAGCCCACCATTTTTGCCTAAGCTTCTGCTATATTCTGTTATGCTTTTTGCACTTACTGCAGGAAATGATTGTAGTGCTCGTGACCAGTGCAGTAAGGAGACAGAAATGCCAGTTCCTCCCTAAGAATCCTGCAGTCAATGCAAGATTTCACAATAAGAACAAGATGAGGCCTAGTGCAGACCATCTTGCACCCTAAGGAGATGCAAAATGTGCCCCCATTTGGCTACTTACTTAAATAATGTTTTCAGCAGACATGATGAGAGGGGGACTAAGTGCCTTTAATCCAGAGATTATGTTGATGCATAGGATACCATGTTTAGTCAGGGTACTCCTCACATGAATGTTATAAAGAAACTTGTTCTGGTCTTTGCCAAGAGAAGAGATTGTGTATATACATAGCAGAGACCACCATAGCAAGGCAAAGTAGAAGAGCCAGCTCATGAAGTGTTTAAAAAAAATAACCCTATCTCAAAAAATATGACACAATAGTCTTGTTTCTACAACATGGAAATAAACAGCTTGTTTTTAAAAAAATCAAATACACATCCTAAGGGTCTTGCTAAATTGCTGAATGTAAATTGCAATTGGAATTGACTATTAGAAATCTTGGTAGAGTAGGTTAAACATCTGCTCAATTTATTACAATTTTATTTGTAGTTCATCTGTAACTGGTGCAATTAAGCCAATCAGAGCTGGCGAATCAAATCTAATTTACACTCTAATGGACTAAGAAGGAATGAATAAACACAGCACTCCCAGATTCAAATGATTAAACATGTCTCTGAGGATGTTTTTTTCTATTTCTGTCTAGAAAAGTCATGGTGCTTATATTATAATTAACCACTGAGGAGTGATGTAAACTAGCTTGAGCATTCATTCATTTTTCATATGTTTTCATAAAAATGCTAAACAAAGCATGTGAATTTAATGAATTAGATTCCATCAGAACTGGATGGATTTACTTATAAAACCATTTACTTCATATACCAGTTTGTGATAAAATTAATACAAACTGGGACACATTAATAGAGATCCCATTTATAAAACTAGAAAAAAGTATTTGTTTATATTACTAGACAATTTAAAGACAAAATTCAGAGGCAACATAAATAGTTGCTTAAGATACACTTATCTTATTCAGGTTCATTGGGTAATGAGTTTAAGTGGCTGTAAATATTAA